TTTTTTCTTCTGGGCAAAAGCTGATGGAGGGGTCCCCTGCACAATGGCACATGCCCAAACATCGCCCACATGCGTATATACACACCCCATGTGTCTCAGGGAAAAGGGGTCAAATCCTTGCCCTCCCACGCCCCTTACCAACGGTGCCTTGTGCCAACATTTTCTGCTCCTTTTTAAAGGGTTTGCTCTGCTGCTTCTTAACCATTTTGTTTTCTTTTGCTTTCTGCTGATATCAAAATCTTAATTTACAAATGCTGAACAATCTCTTAGAAATTATCCAAATGTGAGACATTAAATCTTTACCTTTAAAGTTTATATTTAATTAGTAATTATAATTATAATTAGGACGCGGGAGGAGCAAACCATGTAATACATTTATTGAAGAAGAAGTCAAGAATTACATCCTGTTGAACTTACAAATATAATGTAATCTTAAGCTTTGGTAGCCGTAATACCAAATACAACATGATTGGCTATAAAAATTTAGCCCAATACCTTGAACAAAACACCTTTTAAGTGCTTTATACGTACAACAAGTTGATATTGTCCACGGAATGTCTAAGCAAGATCTTTGAATAAAGGGCTTTTGGGGTGTGCTCTAGAAAGTCAATTGTTGGGGGTGAGGCATTCTTGTCCTGTGACAGCTTTCTGCTACTGCTTTCTTCTGCTTTTTCGCTGTAAGGCTATGAAAATTTAGGTGCCTGTGGTTAGCAACAAATCATAACTAATACTCCAATGAGATTTCCTTGTTTAACATTGGAGGTATTATTGCCTGTCCATATTCGCTGCCGACAGAACATGTTTGATCTAATCTCGCCTGAAAAAATCTTTGAAATGGTAGATGACATTTGCTGACAGTATGAAAATGGTTTATAATCTGGTGGGAGTTTCATTCTTCATTAAAATGCAGCTGAGCTAAATTGACATGGTTCTCTTCGTCCAAGCTTATGGATTTGGCGTCATAGAAGGACTGCGGGATGTCCAGAAAAGTTTTTCTCTAACCCTTTCAAATTGGATAGAGAGCCGTGGGGTAAATGCATTCCTTTTTTCTTTCTTAATTAATTACTAGAGTTACAGCTCAGATCTGAATGCTGAACTTTCTTTGAAACGAAATGACATGCAGTTATTGCTCTGTTACCTTGTGTTTCAGGGTAGGCACCAAGCAGGTTCCGGCCATCAGTCATCTCAAACAAGAAAAGAGCGGCCAATTAAAAGCCAGCCAATGTAGCTTCGTTTCCCAGAACCTAACAGGCACTTATTATTAATACGCACATGCTTTTCATGGTTTGTTGAAATTTTGCAATTCAACCAAATTGCGGGACCCTTCTTTGTTTTAGCTTTGCAATGAACAAATCTGATCAAAATAAGGGCAGCTGGTTGGGCCACATTGGGCCAACATGTGCTAAGCAGCAGTAAAAACTGAAGGTCCATATATATGTATATATCACCAAATCTTCCTATTCATCTCTTACAGCCTAACAGCAGATACCCTTGTCCTGGAGAAGAGTATTTCGGGCCAGAAATTCTGTTGTGGCCCAAAAGAGAAGAGAAAAAAAAAAAAAGAAGAAAAATCAAAACAATGAAAATTCTTTGTGGTCGATATTGTTATTGTCCTTTTTGACTAATTTCTGCTGTTTGTCAGATATGTTGGGATCGAATATGACCTTTGTTTTCGATATGCAACCAATAGGGATTTAAGGAAATCCTTGATGGGGATTTCAAAAGTGGTAAATAATTACAGATGCTTGATAGATCAAATAAATATTTATATCAAATTAAGTGTAAATTCATAGGAAATGATTGAATTATTATATTTATATCTCACATTTTTATCCAATTTCTCTGGATCGCTTGGTATGGTAAATTAATTGGTATTTCATACGAAATTTTAAATGTGGATCATGCATGTTAGGTAAGTGGAGAAGATTGCAAAATAGTTACATAGGCTCATGAGTGAAACATTACATTACGTGACTTTTACTACAGTACTATCATAAAAAAAAATACTTATATTATCTTAAAATTTGATTTAAATTGAGTCGATTTTATATTCAAGTTCTTACATTGAAGATACACGTGTAAAGATAATTAGGTTCAATTTGGAGATTATATATGCACATTTCCCTGCAACAATATGTGAATGACGGATTAGAGAAGCCAGATCTCTTGAGCAACCTTGCAAATGAAATTGCACAACATGGTGCCTAAGAAATAAGACTCTAGTACCTACACCAATTTATATTGCTCATTAATTACTAACTCTTTTCAAAAAGACAACTGAAGTGATAAAAAATGAATTCTTTAAATATTTCGTTAACTAATTTGTAAATATATTTTCTTATTCAAAGAGTTGATTTCGAATTTTTTATTTTGTAATATAAAATGGACTAAAATGGTATAGTTCTCGTCAGTGGCAGTGGTATAGACTTCTTTAATGTCAATAGATCTTTCCTGCAATCCAAAAACAAGATTTCAACTACAACTTATGACTTATACATCCTCCACAGATCGAAGAAAAAAAATGATAATTCACTAAATAATGGTTTCATGCCATTGCATTGGAATGGAAGTGGTTCAAAAGAAAAAAAAAAAAAGAAAAGAAACTGGTTGATCACTCACCCTAGGTAGAGCTAGTTGGTATTATAGGAATCCGGTGAAGAAGATTAAATGTGCTAAAGCTATGTAATTCTCTAGGCTTCATAGAATTATATACATAGCTATGTATAAAGTGGAAAGTATACCCTTTCCACAGTTGACTATTACAACAATTATGCTTTCTTGGCAATGCTTTCACATGTCTGTCACTCTCTGCATTTGCAAAACTGAACGAGTACATCTCGAAGAGACTGCAGTTAGCTCGAGGATCATTCTTGATGGTAATCATACTTGGGAATTATTTGACCAGATGGGGAAAATACTTATTGAATAAGCAATCTCTCCCTCTATATAATTAAAGGTATGTATAATATTCCCTGCAAATAAACCTTTGCATCAACTTAATTAACTTGGCACAGTCCACTTAACATTTTAAGGAAGCTGTCTGTATAGCTAGCTGTACTATATATGTGAAGGTAATCTTAAATCATGTTTGATTAAATGTTCAATTTTGCACTAAGCTTAGCTAAAAATATTGATGCTTCCTATATGTAATTCATTTGAAAGATTAACTGCTTTCCTAATACTAATTAATACCAATGATATAATGTGTTAAGGTTAAAAATTGCTATGAACTTCATTGAATAATCAGGTTCTATGACTGGACAAGAATTCCTAATTCTAATTAAGGATTACATATAATTAGTTTTTAAGTACCTCTATATAGGACTAGAGCCACATACGACAAAGAGAAAACTCATCTAACATGTCTATAAACAAACTTCACATGCATGTTAAAGAACCCTAGGGTAACTTACATACTCTCTAGATACATTAACAATAGTACCACCATAGAATTGGAAGAAAAAAACATCAATGTCATCCCTCAATTCAATCACTTTCACTGTTGATGCTACCCTAAAAGAAATGATCTTAAGAATTAGATGTAAAACCAAACTAACGTTGTATCATCCTGCTTAATTTTGTGGGGACTGTATAATAAACTATATTTGTTTAATTTTGTGGGGACTGTATGATAAACTATATTTGTCAAACTAATTAATTAATGTCCAGCGTCTAGTGGAAAACTACATTAAAATTGAGGAAGAAGAAACATGAAAGCAGATACTGTGTTATATGTTGCCTGATCAGATTCAGAAAGAAAGGAATTTAAGGAAGAAGAAATGAAAACATGCATGTTTATCTTAAATTAATATTCATTTACAATTTGAAACATACACTTAAATAAATGGAATTTTTAATAAATTAAAAATAAAAGAAAACTTTTGCTTGATTTCTACCTAAAAACACCAAATAATACACTTACCCTCAGGGAGCATTGATTATATTTACTTCATTCAGCTGATGCTTCCATCTTCATCTTTCAATTAATTTCAGAAAAATTAAGAATCCCTCTTCTCTTCTTCGTCAATCCAATCTCAATGAACGTCCTGAAGGGAAGAATCTAATAAATAATGTTTTCTCTGCAGAAAAAAAACCCTTAGAAATTCACTTTGCCCTATGAAACAGTAGCTGAATAAATAGTGTCTCCACTGTACAATAAAATTCCTTAACACTAGAATTAGTACACAGTTGTGGATAGAACACACTATGCTGTGTACTATGGATGGTGACCGAGTCGAAGCTCCAAATCCAGTTCATCTTCTTTCATAATTCCCCTCCTCACTTCACGATCATCTACATGCGTTGGGCCAATTTGTAGGCTCAAATTTGCACCCAAAAGCTCTTCATCATTCATGCTCAGAGATTGCGATCTGGCAGGGACAAGAAAATCACTTTCGTAGTAACCATATGGGAGTGTAGGGCTAGACACTGGTGGCTGAAAATACATGTGATAGTTCCGTTGGGCCTCCAAAACCGGGTAATAGTTTGGTGGTTCGGTCGAAATTGGTGGCAGATATCCAGGGTTCATGTAGTCCTCATTCATTGGCTCACTTGGGACCGAAGAACTCGTTGGTTGCTTGGCCTTGGCTCGATCTTTGCGATGTATGTTCATGTGTCCCCCTAAGGCCTGAGCGTTGGTGAAGCCTCGCCTGCAAAAAGTACACTCGTAGGAACGTTTGGTGGTTGCAGCCGTGTCGCCCTTGACTCGATCAACCCGATCGTTTTCTTCACTTGAAGCGTCCGAGCTTCCTTGTTTCCCTGATTCCATTCCCAACCAAAATTTATCGAAACTCTTCTACCTAAAGTTTGGTATTGGCTTAGGATATGGAGATGGCTACGCTCCCAGGAAGAGAGAGAAAATGGTATGGTATTAAAGAAGGGTTATATAGAGAGGAAAAAGGTAAGAAAAAGGAACATAGAGACAATTAGAAGACATTGGCTTTGTCATTGCATTTTCTTGGTATTTGTATTTAGGGAGAGAGACTAGGTTTTGGCGTTTGCATAAGGACTTTTCCTTTCAGTCGGCTTTAAGATGGATCCATCTTTAGTAAACTATTTAGTATATAATTAACTCTCCCTGATCACACCCTCACAAACAGACACTTTGATTTGGCTGTGAACTTGTGATTTGTGCTCATGTTCCTTTCAGCCAGGTTTTCTCAACGCGGTACCTCTTCCCTTGGGACTTGACCTAAATACCATGAACTTGTATATTTTTTATTATTACGTTACAAATAGAAAGTGCAAGATTCCATGAGGATACATACATACATACATATATTGTATTCTAATTTTTGAGGAAAATTTGATCATTAATTGCATCATCTTGACATGCAAATATATTTTGCATACAATATTTCTAGTTCACGAGTGGGAGATATTCTAAATTTCAATGGAATGATCCTCATCTTAATTTACATGTGAGTGCAAATCCCTCACAATAGGGAGGAGAAAGGATGATAATGAAAGACATATGTAATCAAACCGCGTCTTTCAAGCATCTTTGACATTATTTTCCCATAGCTAGGTTTGAAAGGTAAGCCAAAAATCAAAGTTTCTAAAAATTGTTTCTACACCCCCCACCCCCCACCCCCCCCCCAAAAAAAAAAAAAAAAACAACTCCCTATAGTAAGGAAAATGGACTTTCAATTCAACATCACCCCGTTTGTTTCCCCTATTTAGACTTCCTTGCTGAAGGGGAAAGAGAGATCATGTGACATATTTCCATATTTCAATTCTTATGAACAACTCTGAGGCAAATTAAATTAGCATTTGGCAGCATTCATGTGGCCTAATGGCATGCTTCATCATCAAAGGGAAATTCTTTTTTTTTTTTTGTTGAGCCTCACGTCCTATTAGCCACATGCCTTAATCTCATTCATTTAATGCAAGCTAGCTACAACTAACAACTGACTTCAGTCTATAATCTAATAAAAAGGGTGAGAAGGGAAAGGAGGGAGCAGTTCAAAAAGAATAAATTGATGTAACCCATTAATTATTTTTATTTGGTCATCTTTCTAACATACCTTATGTCTTTTAGTATATGCTGATTTCTTTTCAGATTGGTAACTTGGGGGTTAAAGATGGCCATAAGAACGCGCTTAAGACACATAATCTTTGACACCGTCCCTTGACACAGCTGCTCTTTTTTCAGGATTACATGGCGTTTGCTTCTTTAAGAATAATTGTTTCATTTATAAATCGTTAAGATGTTAATCAGTCTCGTACAAATGGAAGATGGGCGTCAATGACGGCAACGGAAGTGCTGTACTTCTTACCTAGTGCCAGTTCATTCATTGTTTCATCTATAAAACACAAAAGAATTGGGAGAGACCTTGACCGATCCTCTTGTCATCATGTTTGGTTATGTTTTCAGTTTCCTGAGAAAATCTCAAGCTACAAAACTGGGCTTCAATGATTAAGAAGCATAGTGCATCTATTAATTATGGGTCCATAGTTTTGCTTAAGAAGTCGAGTTTTGTTCCTGGACAATCATTTGGGCCAAAGAATTCAGAAATTGGGCTTCTTCTGGATCGCTTGGAGTTTTTGTTAAAGCGTATGCTTGGTTGAGAAAATGGAAAAGCACTATGACTTTGAAAAAATGGCAATTAATTCAGTGCCGTGTTAAAAAATAAAAAAGAAGAAGAGATAATTAGAAAAATCAAGTGATATTAAATTAAGTTCCATGTTAGTGAAAGCAATGGAGAATGGGAAACTAGGGAGAAAAGGGAGATCAGGCACAGAAGGGGCCGGGTTAAGCACCAAGGTGGATGGCGATGTGCGCCGACTGTAGCTAGGCTTTGCCCTTTTTCCTTTATGCCATGCGTCTCGCTTTCTTCACTTTCACCAAAACAAGAACTTCTACGGCCTCACCCTCCTTCCCATTTGTCTCTCCTCCTTTCTCTGTATTTCCTTTCACCATCCACGTGTGGGGACCTCTCCCTGAATTAAAACAAAAATTCTCCTCACTTGATGCTTTTCTCTTCCTTTTCTGCAATGCTCATTACTTTTAGTTAGTTGGTATCATATCAATGAGGTTAAGCTTCATTTGATCCCACACTCCATGCATTAACTTAAAAGATTGCCGCATTGAAACCAATGTTAGTTTTATATCACATTTTTTATTGAATGTGTAGGAGCGGATTTAGAAACTTTTTTGACTTGTGTCGTAATTAAATCTATTTGGATTTTAAGTTTTTGACCTTACTCCTTATAAAATTATATAAAAAAAATTAGTGAATTAATTAGTATAATTAACTATATAAAACTCTAACATAAATAATATAATTAAAAAGAAATTTTGACAGTTCAGTGATGGTATTCAGTACCACTCCACTCTATGTTAGTCTACCTCCATTGATGGAAAAGCGGGGTATGCGTCATGTCACATTTCACATGTAAATCTCAAATTTGACCATACAATGGAATAGGGAAGATCCCGAGTACAAATATCTTGAGATCCACATTGTATTATTGGAAAAAACTCACTTGCAATACCTAGTCTTGGGTCTTGAAGTATGATATATTACTATCCTTATTTGGTAAGTCTTAATTACTCTTCTGACAACCCATGGACCAAGAAAACGAGTGTTTGTTTGAACTTTTTCTTATTCAAAGATCTAAATTAATTAAGTGACTAGCTACATATGAAAAGACCTAGCAAGCTTCGCATTTGATTTTTCCCAAGAAGCACTTTTTGGTGTGTGTTATTAATGGGAAACGAATGCAAGTTTAGTTCAAAACGACATAATCAGTCAATGACTCAACAAAGACATAATATAAAGTTTGTAATAACATTTAATTGATTGAATGCTTCATGAATGCATGCATAATTTGCTTTGATTGTGCATGCTCATTTGCTTATAAACATAAGCAGAACAATTTGCTTAGTTGAAATTAACTGAGTCGCACATCAAGGTTCTTTATTTTTATTTTTATATTTTTCATGATAAATTATCTTTTATGGATAAATCTTAAATACAGATGTCACACATCAAGAGTTTTCCAATCGGTTTTCCTTTTTTTTTTTGTTTAATGTAAGTGTTAATTTTAGATAATTTAACTAGAGTTAAAGTGAGTCAACGAGGATTTTTTTTTTGAGAAGTCTGTCAACGAGGATTGATCTGATACAAGAGAGTCTATGCTATTAAAACTCAGCTTAAAAAGATTATGAAGTGGCATTGTTTTAGAGGATTCCTAAATACCACTTTGTAAAATAATCTTATAAATATAATTTAAACTGCTTATTTTCTTTTGAAAATTAGAATTTTATTGAAATTGAACCCAGGGAAGTAGAGGTGAGTAAATGAGTAGATTGAGTGATTTGGTCTGGATTAAATGGACAAAATATTTTTAGAAAATCGACCAAAATCGGCTAAATATAAAAGAAGATTAAATTGATCAAACATAAAATTGATTTCATCAGTCTGATTTAGGATTAATGGACCAACATTTTATTACTTACTTTTTTACAAATTATAATATTAAAACTTATAAACTTCATTCATGATTATAAAATATACAAATTATGTATAAATTAAATACATATATATGTATAATTTATTATATATATGAAATTAATAACACAACTTATATGTTATAAT